GCATCCGGCCAGTCGTAAGCTTTTGGAGTACCTGCGAAACTCCTCTTTCGGCGACGAACTCTTCTGGTCGACTCTGAACCATAACGAACACCTGAACTTGCCTGGCACCTATCCGGGTCGTTGCTTCACTGTTAAAAAGTACAAAATGCATATCACTCGGTTCGTCATCTGGAAGAACAGCGTGCACCCATGCAATGGTCGCTGGCGAAACAAAGTCTGTCTCTTGTCGTCGTCTGACCTGCCGTACATCGTGCGCAGGCGCGAACTGTTCGTGAACAAATTGTGGCTGCCTGACGATCCGATCGCCGTAGACTGTATGCACGAACTGTTGTTCAACAGAACCTATCTCAACGATGACGCAACCGCTTTTGACATTAACACATACGTAAACTTGACCGCAGTAAGGCACAGGGATTGGCAGCTCAGAACGTCATCGAATAATAATTCGCAATTTCCTTGTCCGAGCTGAAACTGTGAATGGTATATCGTTGAGAAAAACGGTTCGACGATGTTCTGCGTTGCCCGAGCAGTGATGTACCAAAATCTTTCTTTAACAGTAAAATGCATCTTTTATTAAAGTTCGATTGGGGTTGAAAGCCTTAAAAGCGCTACAGCAAGAAGTTTCTACGTAATAAACAACAGAACAGGACGGCATCTTTCTTCTGTTAGAAAAGGGGGAAATGATTGGGAGCAGTGAAACTGACAATCTCATTCGATTCATAAATCAAACTATATTAAATACAATGAGGCGAAATTATAGATGTGTGCTTTACAAAGAAACTCTGCCATTCTCATCCAATTATTCGACTGCATGGGTCTTTCCAAAAGAATAAGCATTGAATTCTCAACGTACTCGAACGAAACAACAAACAAATCCATTGGAGAGATCGTATCGGTAACATTTTTCAGTTCAAGTATAAGGAGAAGCTCAAAGAAATGAAAAATGCATCTTATATCGAACTAACTTGAATGAAATGGATATTTCAGGAATTTGTTTAGACATCTGACGAAAGACAGACTTCAAGAGGAGCATTCTCGAGTCCATCAGGAAACATTTCACCTCGGCGGGCAAAAGTCTACGTTTTTTCAAATCAAGGTTCGAATAGTGTCGAAAATTAGTATTTACACGGCGTTTATGCTCCGTCCGCTTGACAGTAATCATCAGCGGACTGCTTCAGTAAGTCACGACCAAAGGTGGTGATGCTGTCTTGCCATGCACGCATCGCAGAGGCTATAATTCTACGGAACGGCGACTTGCATGTATCGGTTTCTTCCTGTTCATGAGAAATTGTAGTGAGCCCTGCTTCTCACCAGGCCACCACACACCATACAAAGGTTTCGCAGCTCATTTACTTGTTACCTGGTTCATAGGTAACAGTGACAGTTGAAGAAGCCATTATTGCTACACCGCACATATGAAATTATACAACATAATATAAATTCGAGGAATATAATGTTTAATAGAAGATTACGTAAAGATAGATACAAAAGATAGACGAGAACGACAGCGGAGCACTGTTGCCATTGTGCCCAAAAAACCAACCTCTAACTCGCTCTTCGGCTGCTTTAGAAATATTCAAAATTTTTCTTGAATATTCATAGCCGACCGCTTTGCCACTGGTTTCGACTAGAAAACGTGATCCACAGGCTTTCTTCTCGGTTGAATGATTTGTGTTCACGGCATTCGTTGTGGCCGCAGTGCCAGCTGGCAAAAACTGACTGCCTCGTTTTCGAAGGTGATTTTCGCCACGCAGCTGCTTGGTGTTCTCACACGTTTCAGTAATGGGATTTTGCAACAGCCTCAAAGAAATTGATTGCTGGCGTCGATTTCAGAGCGAGGGCTGAGGGCAAAGTTGTTGATTTGCTGTAAGAGTATGGTAGCATGTAGACATGCAGCTCCGAAGCATCAAATGCGTCTAATCTTGAATCATTTCAATCAGAATGCAGAAGGCGTATTTTACCATTGCCATATTTAGATGAGACAAGATATCTTCCTTTGTAATGGTAAACTAAAATTAACCAAGCTTGAACAACTAAGTTCACCGGACTCATCATGACTAGCCAATTTCAAAAGGGGCAGAACTAAGGTTTGTCTACAGCAACGGCTGCGGATTAATGCTGCAAGAGATGCGTAAAATTTTCATAACCAGCATGGTAAGTTTTTATCCTTCGTAGTTGTTACGTTAGCTTTGCCTGCTAGATGCTATCTGGGCAAATAAAATTTCTTTTGAATGGCAATTTATATTTGGTATACACCAGAACCAAAAAAATAAGTTCTTAAATGCCTGTATTAAATGTCCATTCAGCGAGGGCCAATGACGCAATCCGTTAAGAGTTAGCTCTGCACTTCAGTTCTGAAGGTTCAAGCGCAATGTGCGATACACATTTTGTTTTAGTAACCGTTATTATCATTGCGCAAAAATTTTACGTCACCATGAATTCGAATAGGCACTCGTTAGTCATTGACCTGCAAATAACAAGGAAAGCACGGCGTTTCGATGTTGTCATGTGAAACCGTATGAGAATACGGTCAAGCCGTCTGATGCATACCTCCTCCTCCTGCAATTCGTTTGATCCATGCGATTGTTGACCGAAAAACGGCACAAGGTAAAAAAATAAATTATAAGCTAAGAGTACAGTCTGTAAACATTAAGAAAGGGAGTCATCGAAATAGAACATACGTCTATGCTCCATAGCAAAGAGAAGAACAAAAGTACGGAAACACATTGACATCAGGAAATGAGAGAAACTGAAAGCGGGAAATTTGCAACACTGTAGCAGATGACGTGTATTTGCACATGCTGTTCATGTTAGCCGTTTGCTCGAAAAGATAGACCACCAGTCTAAGAGCCGTTAGTTTGCCAGAAGAGTCTGCTGAGGTTAGGGCACTTCCCGTCAGCCTCCTGAAGATTGGTCTGCATAAGAGGAAGCTACGTTCACGCAGCCTTTTCGAACCAGTTTATTGTCTAATTGTCTATTGCCAATTACAAAACAAACAGACACACTACAAAATTACATGACTAAAAAAATCATCATTAACGACCGATCAGCTCTTAAACGCAACGTTTTCGAAAGCTAGAACCAACCGGAGTTCACCACTAGCACTTTCCCCCACCTTCGCTGTTAGGGTGAAGCAGTATCATCGATCCGATCGAAGATCTACGATTTTATGAGGGTCATGTTTGGGCCATGTTATCCATAATGCACCGTTTATCTGGTGAGATGTGTCATTGCCACACACGCAATTCTGCTGGCGATGGTGAACAACGTCTAGTCATGCCCGGTTCAAGCCACTGATCATCCGAAGATGAAACCTTGCGAAATGTTATCACTGAGCGATGATATTTATTAGTCTGCACTACGACTAAATTGCGCCATGCAACAAATACGACCAGAGCATCGCACACTGATTGCAGCACTAGCCGTTCCATGACCATCCATTGGATTGTCACTTTCAGCAAGGCCTAAGCGCTTGCTACAGTAATTTAATACTTGCAGGAAACGACGCGGAAGTGATCAATTAAAAGAATGAAATGCACTGAAACTATTGACAGTCAGCAGGTCTTTAAAAATTATAAATTGTGACTAAGAGATACATTCATTTGCCGTCTGATTGAATGCTTGTAAGTTTATGATGAACTAGAAAGCCAAGACAGAAGAATAGAGACCCATAGAAATGCTCAACGTTTTTCTAACAAAATCTTCTGTTTCAGCACGAGGTGTATACAACAATGTGTTTATTTCTTTGACGTGTCCTAAATTGAGAAACAGCGTTGCTCGTGCGAAGTCTGTAGCAAAGATGAATATGTTTTGCCCTGTTCTGGTGTTTAAATATACAATTAACAAGCAACTACGCAAAAACAATTTATATTCAGTTGTCGATCCATGGATCAAAACAACAATTGACACGGAAGTTCGTTTAGCGCCCGACGCGTTTCGATTATGCACACCAGCGTCATCATCAGCGGCAAAATCATGAGCTGCTATTGAAATGAATGAAATCGAATCGAATGCCATTTGCATGGGTCGAAGAAATGATTTAATGAAAAAGTTTCATAACTTATTTAAAGATTACATATGTTGCATTCGGCTACAAATGTTCTTGATTTGGCGACTGATTGGAATCAATAGAATATCACCTCATATCGACTTTTCCCCCAGACTCGAAAAGAAAAGTGGAACTTAAAAATGAACGAATGAATGGCATCATTTAGTTACTAAATTAAATGCTTGCCTTGCCTCAGATACCATTCACTGGTAAAATTGTTTTATTTAAATGATAAATATCAATGTGCATGACATTGTCCATTAAACCGAGAACACGAAAAGGCAGTGCTAGTTAACAGAAAAATTAGTGACCTGTTGACGTGAGAAGATCGCATCCTTGTCATACTTTGCTCCGTCGCCCCGCTGCCTTAAATCTTGTTTATCCTTTTCTCGAATTTTTCTGCAATGACCGACTTTCGGCTGACGAAATTATATACATTATAATGCAAGAAATACCATTCATTGTAGGAAGGGAAGTTTACCCCGAAATGCGAGAGTTTTCCTCTTACAGATCGTTTGCTGTACGTTTCAATTCTGGACATTTCTAGGAGTTCGGGTTTGGGATTGCGTAACTATTTCACGGCAGATGCACGGAGCTTTGAACAAATGGCCTGATTCTTGAGATCTAACTGGCATTAAAGTTTCTGGGCAGCCGAGGTTGGGAAGATGTAACGTTTCTGATTGAACAAAAACTAGAATATGTTATCTTGCCTGACAGCATTAGAGATGAATGAAGGAACGAATGCGTGGCTAACTAAACCACGGATCCACTGCCATCACAAATGAACACAATTGGGTTTCTCTTGACACACAGAAATGAATGACAGTTGTTCTGCTTTATATTGCAGTCTTTATATCTATAACGACGGTTGTCTCTGATTAGTGAACATAACATATATGTTTAATGACGTTGCGATGCTACAGTGTTTAGAAGTTCAAGTAACTCTACTATCACTTGTTAATCATTAATCTCAAAAAACTGCAGTGGCTAACGAAAATCGTCACCATGCTGGGACATTCTAAATTGCGATGAACCTTACTAACTTCCGCTGTTATTACTCAGACGACAGAAAATGAGTTACATGCGACTCCTTCATACTTCAAATGAAAATTTTATCTTCATCTGCTATGAGCTGCAGATTCGTTGTCAGTCTTAAACATTTCACCTTTCCTCTTTTGATAAATGTGTTATGTGAGATAGACTAATAATCAGAACTGGCCATTAACTACTTTAATAAACCGATCCTACTTTGTGGTTAGCGCGATCACCATCGCCTAGTGTCGATTGCCAAACTCGTCTGTGGCATGAGATTTGTGGTGATTAGTTGTCGTACTGCTGTTTCTGCTTACTTTGAGCTCACTCTGAACCGTCGTCTTGCATCTGCAGTCCGTTAGGCGATAGCTTATCCTTGCTGCGGTCAA